ATGATACTTTTTTCTTAATACAGAGTCCATCAAAAACATGTATACACATTTCAGGAAAAGAAATACTTGTGTAAATATTTTAACACTAAATTTATTGAAACATCACAAAGTTTAAGCAAGTTACTTTTGGCCTCTATAATTACCAGAGGTGCTCAAAGCTGTGGCCATGAGCTTCCAGACATTTATTTGTATGGCAACCTTGGTCATTGAGATTGCTGCATATGCATTTTCAATTTCTTCTCTAAAGAATGGCAGTGTGAATTTTCTGAGGCATGAAACATCCTCTACGGTCTCCTATATGAGAGTAATACCATACTATGTGTTGAAAAAACATCGTACTATTTTTCTTTTCCTGAAGCATATGTACATTTTGGGGAGATTTTGTAGTTATTAAATTAATAGAGTAATGATATGAGTTCTCAGACAGAGAATCCATACATTCAGAAGTATCAGGCTCTACAGGATTGGATTGAAAAACATTTAGGATAAAATGCAAACTTTATTCTTAGACATGGAAAGCTTGCAGTGTTTAGTTGAGTGTAGATAAGCAATTTATATTACATGGTTCTCACCCATCTCTCCACTCAAATAGCCTCTTCTCACTGGAGGGTTTTTTTTATCATTATCTATACCTACATATTACTTTATTCATTTTAACAATTAAAACTATCTGAAATAACATGATATTTTGATTACTTCTTGTTGGAATATAGGCTTTAGGAAAAAGAGATATTTTGTCTGTGGGTCTATTCTCAGGAATTTGAACAGTATTTGGATAACCTTGGTCAAACACTCTATAGACAAGGGTAGAGAACAAAGAGTTGTCTCCATTTATATGCAGTAAGAGACATAGTCTCCTATTCCCCAAAAGACAGAATACAACAAACAAACACAAAAAGCTTTTCTGCTTCTTCCAGATGAATAGAAATTATACTGGTTTCTCACCTTGATATCTTTTAATGCAAATGCATCTTTATATGTGCTAGTAAAGTGCTGGGCATCTCTGGCTTGTAAAGCTTAGAGGTGTCTCCAAAGCCTGCTACTATATTGTTTGAAATGTAAATACCCAGGGAAAGAACACTGCAGGCTTCCTGGCCTTTGAGGCCATACTATAATCATCTGACTTTCTCTGAGAAGTAAGAGATGTTTTATTATCCTGTGGGGTCAGAACAATAAATTAGGCAAATGTCCATTGTTCTGATTTTAATGGTATGTGAAGAATAAAATGCTTCAAAGAGAAGTAAAATTAAGCATATCCTACCTTTGTATTCTGAACATTTACCGGTGTCAGAAGGGGAGGGCTTTTTAGAGCACCCCTGAGAAACCAAGGCTAAGCAAGGTGTCAGGTGTTCTGCATGGTCACACAGGCCCCCAGTTGGTATTTAACGTTTTTTTTTTTAAATTTTAGTTCACTCCTTCTTATTTACTTGTGAGGCAACTTGTGCCTTTGGTCTCTGCCACAGATGAATCATTCTATATGTGTATCTTTCCTGTAAAATGTTTGCCTTTAAGAATTCAGGCTACCAGGGCAGCTCTACAAACCTAGCTCTCTGATGGGTTACTATTTTTACTATGCCAAGAATTTTCCCTGGGTATATTGAGAGCTACACATTTTATAACTTTGCATTTCCTGGATAGATACAGAATACCTAGTATTTATTCTTTTGCTCAATGTTATTCTATTAGTCCATTTTTTTTCTGTCACTACTTTGAAATACTTGAATCTGGGTAACTTGTGTAATAAAGCCATAGGACTAGGGATGCTTGCAACTTTGGAGGCTGAAAGTTCAAACAACACGAAACCAGCTCTGGTGAGGGCTTTCTGGCTGTATCACATAGTGTGAGAAAAGTTTTATGGTAGCAAATTTGAGGTCAGCATGGGCTACATCGTGAGTTTAAGGCCAGCCTGAACTACATAGTGAGACCCTCTCACAAAACAAAACAAAGGAAACAAAAACAAAACAAAACAAAGCAAAGCACAAATAAATATATAAAACATAATATTCAGATTACTTTTGGACTTTAACTGTTTCTTCATTGGTATGAACATAATATAGAAATTATATGTATATTTATGAAAAAGATTCTATTTTATGTTATCTGGTAATCCTTCCCAAGTGGGATATAAATTTGATTTAGGCAGAGGAACCTTTACAGAAAACACACACATGTACATGTATGTGCATACACCCCCACACACACATTGTATGTACATTCTCCAGTTCTTAGCATATTATTTAGATCACGGATTTTTCCAAAATGCTCTACAGATAGCTGAAATAAAGATTTTGAAATGTCAGTGCATTAATTTTCAACAGCAAAAAGCAGATATAAATTGATTATCTTTTCCTTTTTAATGGATTTGCTATGCAACTAAACTATTGGTTTATACTTACCTTTTGACAGTTTTCTTATTATCAGGCAAAGGATAAATTACTAATATTTGAATTTAGTAATAAACCATAAGTTTTTATACCTTCATATTCAATACTATAATAAACATAAAGAAAAATAAATAATTTCCTTTGGGATAGAGGTTGGCTAAAAATACACAGAATGCACTAAAATTATAATATATTATATTTAATAAGAGAAAAATTCTGTTAATCTAAAAAAGAGAGAAAGCAGGCTCTAAACTGACATCCGTTTAGGTTTTTTCATATTATCAAGAGCAAGTTCTCTTTCATAGAATTCATCTGACAAATGATAAATGCAATGTAATCAGTCAATTTGACATTTAGAAGGAAAAAATTGATTTCTCAAAGTCTTTTTTTTTAGGTCCTTGGAATTGAAATAATTTTCACAACCATATCTATCTCTGGATTGACCATAGTTTGCTCTTAACTTATAATGCAGGAAACAATATCGTATACGTTCTAAGAAGTCAAAAGAAGAACATGATATGAAAACCAAGAAAAATAAACTATGATTACACATATACTGTTAAAACTTCACTCCATATTCTAATAGGATAAGAAAAAAATTCTCCTATTTTCTAAATGTTAGTGTAATGATAAGATTGTGATGTGGTCTACATAAAAAGCAAACAGTAACCAAAGATGACCAGATATGTGGAGTATATGGATATCACTTTTCAAGGGGCTTCAGAATATGATCATATTATGTTATAGTTTGTTATGTTGGTGTGGTAATCCTATACTATTGCATGTGGTGCCGAATTCACTCTCTCTTTCATCATTTTTTGAAAGGCTTCAATATTATAATTAATGTATGAGACACATGGAGAGGTATACCCTCTACTGAGACAGTCCACTGAGAAGCATACATGACTGGATTTGAAATAATTAGGAAAACAGTGATGCAGAAAAAAATCACCACAAAATGTAGCAGACAACTGAATTTTGGGTACTCAAATAAAGACGGGGGCCACTATTTAGAACACTATTGTTGAAACAGAAAGATTGAAAACTAATATGTGAAACAGAAATGACTAAAGAATAATTTACATTTCTATTGACTAGTGTGTCTGCCAAAGCTCGGCAGTTCAGTGAATAAGAAGAAAATCTGTTCCATAAAAGTATCCGGAGTTATATAATTTCATTTACCAAATGGAAAGTGGAATAGAAGTAACCAGCAAAAGATTTATTGTATCAGGAAGTGAGGTTGCCTTTGGAAAGAGCATCAGTGAATGAAACATGTTTTGTGTTTCATCATAAAACAATTACTCTGCTCAAGTCACTGTTCTAAGAGATGGAATAGCAGTGAACAAGAGAAAGATCCCTGTTTTCCTGGAGCTCACATTTGCAAGCAGGGATAATAGATATTAAACCAGCAAATACATAATGAGACAAAGTCAGGGTATTGCTGATCCAGCAGAGAAATGATGAGAATTTAGATATGAGATTGGACATCAGAAATGCCTTTAAAGTAAAACTGACATTTATAACAAATTGGATTTGTTACCTAGAACGCAAACAAACACATACTGTACAGTAGGTTTAAATTTGTTTTTTATAGAGAGATGAACAAATATAGACTCTTTTTGGAGACGTGGTCTTGCTGCAGGCTAATCTTGAACTGACTATATAGCCCAGCCTGATATCAAACTCGCTCTCCTCCTATCTCAGCCTCCCAAATGATGGGACTGCAGGCATGTGCCATCATGTCTATGAATATATAAAGAGACATAATTATATAAACATTTGAGAGCTTAATTTTGTTTTATTTATACAGTTATTATTTAATCTATGTCATCCTGTCCCACTCTGTGGATAAATAAAATGTGTCCTAACTTGTGTGCCTCTCTGCATCTCCTTCAGTGTTCAGATCATTGCTTTATTTGTTGTCCAAAACCATTCAATATACTCTTCAAATAAAAAAGCCTGATCTTTTGATTCATAGTGAAGACAGATTGGAGAATGTTATTTTGTGCATGAAGCGATGTGAAAAATATGAAGTATCTCATTTTAAATATTCATAGCATGCTCAAACTCAAAATTAGACAACATTAATTCCTTGCTGATTTTCAAGCAATGAAACAGTATTTCTATTAGCAAAGATCCACTCTGGGAATATATAATAATCAGAGCAGTACCAGTGTACCAATTCATATCTTTCCCTTCTCTTCCTCTTTTTCTTCATATTATCTCCCTCTGCTTCTTCTTTCTTTCACTCAATCTTCTCTGTATCTCTTTGCCTCTCTGTGTTTATCTGTACGTGTGTGTGTGTGTGTGTGTGTGTGTGTGTGTTTCTATCTCCTTGCATTCTATTTTTCTCTTCTTTATTACCCTTTTTCTCTCTTTATTCCTTAAATCATGTTCATTATTTTGGGTCTCCTACACTGTGATTTATTTTTCCACTTTTTCCCAGCTCCAATTCCTCACATACTCTACCTCTGTCTACATCCTTCCTGTGGTGTATCCTCTTCCTACATAACCAATATCTTTAATCTATATTTAACAATATAAAGATATCCAAGTTTCACTAATTAAAATCTCCCATGTACGTGTCCTGGTTTATATATAAACGTGTACACTTACCTGGTCATAGAGTTACGCTCAGTGTGACTCATGTTCCAGAAAGATCTCTTGCTCTGATCATAATCTTGTACTGCAGAAAGTGAAGACTTTGATCTTTATTGCGTAGAGACTTGACAGTATTTTCTCTTAGTGGCATACACAATGTTACTTGACATTCATCCTTTTTTTCCAGCTCAGTCTGATGCAGTGACCAGCATCCCACTTTGCTCTATGTCCAACCAGATAGCTCCATGCCTCTCATTACAATGTCCCACTTATGCCTTACTAGAACTTCTCTCTGGCTACTGCCACAACTCAGGGACTTCTCAGAGCCCATAGTATTGTTTATTTCATTGAATAAGGATAATTTTAGCCAATAGACAGATAGTGTCCCTGGCCAGTTTGTCTTTGCTGACTCACTGTGCAGTTTGTCATGGGCAGTAAATTTGGCTGGGACGCTTGTACTGATCCAGCCTTTCCAAAACCCACTTGCAAGGCCAAGTGACAGAATGGCAAAAAAGGAGGACTGTAAATATCCATTGGCAAAACATCTGACTAATGAATATGCAAGATGGAAAGACGGAGGTGGCCAAATTCTCTTCGACCTTTAGCAACTGTTCAGAGGTCTTACGTTTCTATATGGTCTCTTTTGAAAGGTCACATGCGTGATCAGAAATCAGCAGCAATGGGGATCAAACTGTATAACTGATATTGTGAAATAGGAAGTAAAGGTGTAAAGGAGTAGGAGAAGTGTGAGAGGTAGGGGAAAGGAAAAAAGAGAAAAGAAAAAATATGAAAAAAGGAACATGGAAACAAAGTCTTTGTAAATATGGTACCATGGAGGGCATGAAGGGAGGGCAGGGGTATGGGGGAAAATCAGAACCAAGATACATTATGTAAAGGTACAAGATCCCAATGATGAATACAATTGTATTGTTTACCCTAAATGTACCAATAAACTTAATGGAAAAGAAAAAGAAAAAGAAATCAGCTATGCTTTCTGATGAACCTCTGGCTTTCTGGGTCCTTTGGCTTCCTCCTTTTCTTCACTCTGTCATTTTTCTTCAGTCTTTTCTTGGTTTGCATTTCTCATACAATATTTGCTTCAGACTTTGTTTTTCAGAGAAATTATACTTAGAAAACCATCCTGAAGTTCCAGTTTCTAATATCTCTGGTTTCCATAAGACCAAGTCATGTCACCTAGAGTCCATCATATACATTATTTTTCACTGCTTATGAACATTTGCTGGTCGAAGGAAGACTTGTAAACTCACCTAGGCACTTAGAGAATGATGAACTAAAAATTCATAATAAATGAGCAGAATTAAATAAATACGTAAGTGGAAATAAGAGAGAGAGAAAGAGAGAGAGAGGAAAGAGAGATAAATTGTTTGAGTTTCTGTTCCTAAAACAGCTTCTTAGCTCTACTCTTTACTAAGTTGGCTATTGTAAGTTTCCTACAATAAAACTCAATTAGCTTGGGCTACTTACTTAGCTGTCAGGCACTTGTAAATACATGTCCTGATCCAAGTTTTAACCAGATTCATATTATCTGATTCATTATGTATCTTTCATTTCAAGTAGCCTTTTAAGGACTATTTTATGCCATGTGCCGTCACATGACTATTAAAACTGACTACTTGCTGGGCGTGGTGGTGCACACCTGTAATCCCAGCACTCAGGAGGCTGAGGTAGGAGGATCACTATAAATTCGAGACCTACCTGGGCTAAATAGTGGGTTCCTGGTCAGTTGCAACTACATAGTGAGACCCTGTCTCAAAAAACAAAAAACAAACAAAAAAAGACTACTTTAGCGGCACTTTCTGCCATGTGAATGTTTTTTCTCACTTTGGTGTCCTGGATATTATTTATCTTTTCTCTCTTCTAAGCCTCAGATAAAATTTTGGAAAATGAAAACAGAAATGTAATACATTTTGGGATGTGTGGGTATCAACAATGATTAATTTTAGTTGTATTATATAGTGTTTCCACAAGCACAGAACTCCACTTGCCTGGAGGTTCCATTTGACCCAGCCATCCCTCTGCTGGGTCTCCTTCCAAGACAACTAAAAGAATCATATCACAGAGAAGTATGTGCACCCATGTTTATAGAGGCACAGTTTGTAATAGCTAAATCTTGGAAACAGCCTATTTGCCCATGTTGGAAAATTTACTCCTAAGTGAAATAAATAAGTCACACATGTGTAAATACCGAATATTTTCCCTGGTGTAAAAAATCTGCAACAATGCATAAGATTCTAATAAGATTACTGACATTTAGAAATGGGAAGAAAGGAGCTAAAGGTGTAGGGAAGGTGGGATGGGTAGGGGAAGAGTAAAAAGGGAAAAGAAAAAAATGTGAGAGAATGAAAAGATGAAAATAAAGTGTTTGTAGATGGGGAGGGGAGGAGGGGGTGAAGGGAGGGCAGAGGTAAGGAGAAAAAATGAGAATCAAGACTTGTCATGCAGAGGTGCAAGATCCCAGCAATGAAGGTAACTGTACTGTATCCTAAAATGTACCAATAAACTCAATTAAAGCCTGAAAAAAAAATGAAAGGAAAGGAAAATATACTTGAAAAGCAAACAAGATGGGAATTTGATTTGTGAAATTATTTTCTACTCCTTAGTTGGGATTAGGCTATTTTTTTTAGCAACCCTGAATCTCAGTTTGAGCCTCAGAATAACATGAAAATTAAATGAGCTAAGTTACTATATATAATAATGACTGAAATATAATATACACAGAGAGCTAGTTATGGATTACATATCTGCAGCTATAAGTAGCAGATACAAAGTGATGAATTGTGCATTTTCTTACTAGATTATAAAGTTATAAGAGTTGTCTCAGTATGAATTTTTATGTCTCCTCACAAAAAATAAATGATGAAGATGATGAATAAATTAATTTTGAAGCATCCTACATTACATAAATTGATGCATAACATGTACTAAATTATTGCCTTGAGCCCCATAAATGTATGATTGTAATTGTCAATTAAGATACTATTAATTAAAAAGATTTGCCTCATCTTAATGTTTTTTTCCAAAAGTTTTGAAAACTTCAACTGTTAAGTGAAATACGTTTAGACTAAACTTCTGAAATAATCTCTCTCATCACTTAAATGATCTGTTATTGTCTACCCTTCTATGCTACCTATATGTGCATATTTTTTATGAGACTTTCTGCAGAATGACTTAGAACTAGCAATAATGAGAAAATGAGCTACATATCTGAGGTATGTTTTTTGGCATTCCTTGGACACAAGTTCTGGATCTGTTTCTAGTTTCAATCAAATTATTTTGTCAAGTACTCTGTAGCTTTTCTTTTACGTGAATGTATCTCATCTGACTCCATGGCATTCTAATATACCATCTTCTTTTTATCTCCTGAGCTTTATTCTGTTTGTGGACCTAGGATGCTTTTGTAGAAATAATTGTTAAATATCTTTAGTGGGAATGAGCAGAGCTCAAAGGCCATGACCTAAACTAAAATCCTGAGTGCCTGTGGTCAGGGATCCAATCTCGGCTGCCATCTCTTAGAGAGAATTGGAGCTGAAGAGGCTAAAGGGAGTCTACATAAGGAGGAACCTTCTCAATTTTCATCCATATAGGATGCACAGGAGAAAACTAGAGTTCAAGATTATCCCTGCCAAAGGCATCCTGTCTACTTAGTTGAAAAAAACCCAAGGAAGCAGGGCCTGGAGGCTGCTAGAGACAGAACACAGAATATGGAAACCTCGTTAGCCACTGTTAAAGACCATATGGATCTGTCTCCCTCAAGTAGAGAAGGGCCTCGCAAGGACAGTAAGCTTTTGTTACTGGAATTTCCCTCCGCAAGGGAAAGTTTAGACAATGGATTGTGCAAGTTTTCTCTGTCAACTGATGTGGAGTTTGTGAATGGAAACAAAATTTTGTTGAACGTTTTTGTCTAAGAACCAAATTGCTCGCAAACCGAAGAGCTCATGAACCAAGGTATTATTGCATTTTATGTTAAGCAAAGATTTACAAATATATTTGGGAATATGGAAGTGTTAAATATCCTAATGTGACAATTACATATAGTTATGACAAAAAAAATCCTACTAACAAAATGTGAAACTAAAGTATCAACAAGTAAAGTTCACTACAGAGTAAACAGGGCACTTACAAGAAAAGAGAAATTGTCAGTTACAAGCTTGAATCCCAGAAAATACCAATTCCAGTCAGACTTGTAGCATCAGGGCCATTAATGAAAATAATATCATTTATATGGCACAGACTTTTTTTTTTTTCTGGTACCAGGGATCGAACTCTGGTCCTTGCGCTTGTGAGGCAGGCCACCTAATCACTGAACTAAATCTCCGGCTCTGGCACTGACTTTTACCAAAAAATATTTTTTATATTTATTCTAGCATTCAGAGAAAAACAAATTCCAGCTAGGTGTATCTCCAATCAATTCCTACCCAGAAATTTCTGTATCTTTTAACCTAAAATTTCAGACTGCATAAAATAATAGCTAAATTATGCTTTAGGATAATTAACTACTAACTAAAATACCATGTTTAGGTAAGAATTCACCATTTTAAAAGCTCATCTATATTATACTTACATAAATACTGATGAAACATCTGGTTTAAGTATCAGTTAGATTTTGTCGATTATTGATCAACTGTAAATGATAGAATCTTGCCTACTTTTAAGGATACGTTATTTTTATTGAGTATTTCTCAAATTCACTGAAAGAACAATTATAAATAGCATCAAGAAATGAATAGAGGGCCGGGGATTTAGCTCAGCAGTTTGGTGGCCTGCCTTTCAAGTACAAGGACCCGAGTTCAATTCCCGGTACAAAAAAAAAAAAAAAAGCAAGCAAGAAAGAAATGAATAGATACATTTTGGCCCACAACAGGACTTCTCTTTCTGTCTGTAGAAGGCACAGCACTACTCAGCAGATCACATGCAACACAGGGAGTTCATGGCACACTTTCTGAGCCAAAGAAATAGTATAATACTCAATTCAATCAGTCACCCTACCACTTATGGCTTGTGAACGTTTTTGTGTGTGGAGAGTGCACTCTGATGAATGGTATTGGGTGTGCTGAAGACACATTTGGACTACCAGGCACTTCAGACACCTGAGTCCTGGAAGCCACTGTAACCTGGTAACTGCTATGGGGAGAAGTCACTGCCACCACTTTAACTAGAATCAATTCACATGAGTACAAAACAGTTTCATTTCAAGTTATCTATGTTCAACCTAAAGAATTTAAATCTTAAATCATTAGGACAAAAATCTTCACT